GACATCAAGATCTTACCCTGTGAACCTGTGATTATGGACAGATGAGGTGACCATGACAAAGTCAAGCCTCCTGCTCCAAATTCAGGGTTCTGTCCACTAACCCATACTCCTCTAATAGAGGTAAGAACAAGATTAAGTGACTAGGAGGACTCTTATAGAGCATGCTAAGAAATTGAAGGAGGAAAAAGGTTCACTTTGAGCTTCAGGTGGAGTCTGGATCTCTTACGGAGTACAAGGCACCTGAAATAAGCACTGAAAAGGAAAAATAAAAGAGGCAAACTGTGTAGAATGACCAGTCCTGATGGCTTCTTCAAATGTCAACAATTATAGTCAGTCACTGATTAGATAAAAATGTAAGTACTTGTTAAAAATGTTTAATGACTAGTATTAAAATTTATTTAAAAAACTAATATGCCCAATTGGAAATTAGATTCAAAATGAGATTCTGACCACAGTTTCTAAATATTTAAACTTCTGGGTTGGGGATTACATTCACTTTTATTTTATTTAGGGGGAATATAAATTAATTCTTCAATTTATTGATACTTTTTTTTCCTAATTTACTGATACAAAAATATATTTTGACATAGATACTTCCAAATTCTTTTACAAAGTATACTTTCCCCAAAATGGTTAGTTTATTGATAACTATATTTATTGCACATGGTGGTAATGACCTAAACATTTGTAATTATACTAAAACCTGGGCAACAGGCCAAGTTTATACAGTGCATATAATAGGCTGATAAGAAATATTATTTAGGCCAGGGGTGGGGAACCTATGGCCTTAGGGCCACATGTGGCTCTCTAGGTCCTCAAGTACAGCCCTTTGCATCTAAATTTCGCAGAACAAATCCCCTTAATAAAAGGATTTGTTCTATAAAACTTGGACTCAGTCAAAAGGCCACACTCAATGATCTAAAAGGCCACATGAGACTTCAAGGCTGCAGGTTCCCCACCCCTGATCAAGGTCAAAGGTCTAATGATCTATTTTAAATATGATATATAACCAAGCATAGCAAAAGTCTCTTGGCATTTCTAGTGAACTTTTCAATCATCTCTCCTCCTCTCATATAAAACCCTTTCTTCAAATTAAAGAGAAAAAACTCAAAACACTGTATTGGGATCTCTTTTCAGTTCTCTTACCACATTCTTCCTTATGTGTTATCCCCCTTATTACACCTCAATAAGCACCTTGAGAGTAGAGTTGACATTTTTCATCTTTGCGTCTTTTGCACAATGCTTTGAAGCATGTATTTACTTAAATTACTTAATTTAATGCTAAAGTTTCAATAGACTCAAACAAATGGTCATACTATTAGGCCTGAATGTAAAAGAATCCCTTTCTTTAAAAAAAAATAGGTTTTTATTATTCACAAGTGTAAATGTTAGATAAAGATTCCACTAAGTGGACATTCAAAATATATATATATCTTCTCCTGGGCACAGTATTTCAAAGCTGAAGAGAGTTTAGCAATTATCTAGTCCAACTCATATTCAAAAGGAAAACTTATTATAGCAAGTTTATCCACCAAGACTAGCTATATAACCAAAGAGCTCTAACTGCCATATCCAATGGCCTTTTCTCAATACTTATTCTCTCTAACCTTTCTGCAATATATGAAGTTGTTGAGTTCTCTTTCCTTCTTGATATATTCCACTTTCATAACTTCTTTGACACTACTATCTCCTGGGTTTTGATCCTATCTGTGAACACTCTTCAGCACCCTTTGCTGGTTCTTCTTTCTTCTTTTCCCCCAAATATTCTGTCCTTTGACTTTCTGTCTTCTATCACTAACTTCTAATATCCACATCACTTAAATATATAACAAATATAATAGATAAAATTAAATGAATGCTAGCTATTATTGTTATCACTTTGAATGGGGAAAGGAAGAAGAAGGGAAGAGGTATCTATATAGTATCCACCATGAATCAGCCTTTGTGCTAAATACTTTACAAATATTACCTCATTTGTTTCTCCCAATTACCTGGCAAAGTAGGTGCTATTATTATTCTGCAGTTCAGGAAGGTAAGGCAGATAGAGGTTAAGAGACTGGGCCAGGGTCACACAGTTAGAAGTGTCTGAGGCTGGATTTGAATTCAGGTCTTCCTAATTCCAGGCCCAGTGTTCTCTCTAGGTGCCATTAACTGCTCAACCTAGCTCAGGTGATTTCTAAATCTGCATACCCAACTATAACCTCTCCTCAATTGCAGTTCTGAAAAATAACTCCACTTAGATGTTCACTGAACCCTAAAATTCAAAATACTCAAAATGAAAAGCATAATTCCCTCTTGACATACACACCCATTTATTTACCAAAATAAATTATTTTGATAGTATTATCATCTTCCCTGTTATGCAAAATTATAGTCTCAGTCATCTTTGGCTTTTCTTTATCCTTCATCCATAACCCCCATTCAGTTACACAATCCTATTGATTCTACTTCCAAAATATTTTTCACATTTGTCTCTTCTCCACTCACACACCACCACCCTAAAATACAGGTTTTCATTCTGTCTTACCTAGACTGCTGTATTAGATTCTTAACTGTTCTCCTTCCTCTTCTCTCCCCTCTCTCATTTATTTTTTTCACACTGCTGCCAAAATAACTTTCCTAATGCACAGTTCTGGCCATTTTACCCTCTGTTCAAAGAATAATTTTCCACAGTATAAAATTTAAAAATCCTTAGCCTGTCACTCAAGGCCCTTCACAATTTGTTTTCAATCTATTTTTCTAATCTTATTTCACACTATTCCCCTTCAAGCATTCTTGATGCCAGCCTAATCAGACTAATCAGCCTAATCAGTTGTAGCTGCTCCCCCAGTATTACTGTATCCTCTTCCCTGCAATGCGATCATACAAGCCGCCACTTATGCATAGGATAGGTTCCTCCCACAACCTCCACATCTTTATTTCTCTTCTAGTCCCAGATCAGGTACCATCTCTTTCATGAAGCATTTCCTAATCTCCTCATTCTTCTCTCCAGTCAGCTGAAATCAATCTGTCCTTCCACAAAATCCTCAAAACACTGTATTGGGATCTCTTTTCAATTCTCTTACCACATTCTTCCTTATGTGTTATCCCCCTTATTACACCTCAATAAGCACCTTGAGAGTAGAGTTGACATTTTTCATCTTTGCGTCTTTTGCACAATGCTTTGAAGCATGTATTTACTTAAATAAGTTCAAATTCCTCAAATGCAAAAGTCCTACAAAAGTTAGTTCTGCCCTATTTCTTAAGGCTAGACAAACAAAATGATGTTAATAGAAAATAAAAGCTTGGGGCAGCTAGGTGGTGCAGTGGATGGAGCATTGCCCTGGAGTCAGGAGGACCTGAGTTCAAATCCAGACTCAGACACTTACCAGACCTTGAGCAAGTCACTTAACCCCATTGCCTAGTCAAAAAAAAAAAAGAAAAGAAAAGCTTAATTGTTTCTCCTCAAAAAGAAAAAAAAAGATGCTGTGATTATAGCTAAATTGTTTTCTTAATGAAAAATAATTTTCCACTGGTGTTCTAATCACTTCTTTTCCTTTTTTTCTCAATCTATAAAGATTGTCAATTTGTTTTATATTAGTAGAAAAGACTCCTGTACAACACTCTTCAACATGTGTCCTAACTTCCTCTTAATTAGTTTTCTCATTCAGAGGAAAGAGCATCTTATAGGAAGTTTACAAAGAATGCTACATTTAGCAAGACATATAGGAAAATGAAAGCCAGTGATCCAAATAGGTCAGGATGAAGAAAATAAAATGTTAATCCAAGAATATATTTACTTCCTGAATCTGGAGATAAGAAATGAGGAAGAGACATGGGTAACCACATTGCTGAGAGAACTGAAAATTTACATCAGTCCTTGATTCCCTTCAACATCAAACAAACTTCCGTAAGTTTATACACAATCCAACCTCTCAAAGACAAACAAGTTCCAAAGCTCTCTGTTTTTTTGGCGGTTACCCATATGATTCAATTTAATTCATTAATCGTCCTCTGACATGAAATAGTAAAAAAAAACTTTTTAAAAAAAGATCTCTGTCATAAACAAGTAGTTAGTAGAAGTTACTATTTTTTAAGTTACAATAAACTTTTTTTGCCTTCTATTTGATATTAAAAGTGTTAGAAGTTAATTTTTAAAATGAAAGGCAATCATAAAACCTATGTAAAAAAGTCCTTTTAACCTGATGGAGTCACATTAAGAAAATTATAATGCACATTTTCACAAACCAAGAAGTTTATCACTTCTTAATAAAAATGTAAAATTTTTTACAAATATATTGTGAAGGGTTTTTTCGCCATTTGGTGGGAGTTTTTAAATCTGTATTTCTTTAGCTTGAATTAAAATTTCCAGTCTTCATAATTAATATTTCATGTACACCAAAAGTTCATATAACCAGATCTCACATATTGAGTCTACTTTGGTGAAGATAAAATTCAAATTTGTTTACTTATGGTAAAGGAGAGTGAAATCTTTGGCCAAAAGGAGGTTTTTTTTCGTTTTTTTTTTATAGACTCAATTAACTCTTTTAAAACTAAGTGAATAATATATGAAGAAATCGCTGGCCTGAAGAAGAAAATAAAAGCGTCTATCTTCAGATATTAAAGAGCTACTTGTAGTTTCTCAGAGAGTAAAACTGTGCTAAGATCAGACCCCAAGAAGAAGTCTAATAAAGGATGGTAAGTTGTAAGGAGGTACCTTACAACATCAAAGTTTTCTTTTTCATATTACTTAACCATGACCAAAGTTTGAAGACACTCATCCTTAATTCCCCAAGGTTGGAACACTTCACAATAATATATTATAGAGTCAGACCGGTTAGAACTTTGGATTATTTAGTTCCACCTTCTTGTTTTACCAATTAGAAAACAACACACTGAGACATCCAATGCTTTATTCAACAGATTTACCAAACAATTACAATTTCATGCTTTTTTTTTTTCACTATGCTCTGCCTCCCCTATTACTTCTCACTAAATTTCAAAAGATAAGCTTGCCTCACCTTTCTTCCTCCACCATGGTCCTTCTGGGACAGAATAGGAAAGGTCCTTAAATTCAATATTCACTGCTGCCCTCCTAGGCAAGGAGGAGAAGCGCTGTGCTTCAGTCAGATTGTTGTCCACCTTTTTCATGTGTCCATTTAGCAGATCAGTCTCTGTACTGTCCATACTACTTGAAACCACTTCATCCACTGAGACACACACTGACTTTGGCTCTGTCACACTTGAAGAATAACTGCTGGCATTCTACGGGGAAAAAAGAAAGAGGCAATATGATCTTGTAAATTACATAGATGGAAGCAAAGTCTTTGTCATTAGCAACTACCAAGATCAAGAAAATCCCAATGGAACTGGTATCCTATTATAAACAATAGTGTATATACTTTTATTTTTCAAAGGGCCTTAAGGTGATTTTTTCTATAATTTTTAGATTAATTTTTTTAAAGTTGAAATGTGAAATGGTAACTTGCCAAAAATTTTACAGGGCATGATAAAATCAAGTCATAATTATGATAAACCATTTTCTTTGAAGTATAAAACAATGACCAATCATCCTGAAAAATAATCATTGACTAAATGAAATGATAGCTAAGGCAAATAAAGCAAACATAATTATTACCTAAAGAATATTTCAATTAGTTCTTTTCTTATCTTTCACACAATCTCTCATTCACTTTCTTAATAGTAATCATATTAACTTTGGATTTCTCCATTTTCCCATTTTATCTTCACAACACTCCTTTCTCTCTACAGGTGAGGAAACTAAGGCACAGAGAGATTGTACAATCAATTTACTTGTGGATCCATGGACTAAATTACTTTTTAACCACCATCTGGTGCTTCCAATTCCTATGTTTTTTAATCTAGTTTTGGTTTTCAAAACTTCTTTTGATAGTTTAATTATAATTTAGGTGTCAAGGACCTAAAGTATTTTTGTGACGAAGAGCAAAAATAATGTTGTAATAGATTAACAGTCCTAAGGGAATAAATAATATTCTAGGAACTATAAAAAAAAAACAGGAAATCAAAAGTGTACACATAATTTATCAAGCAAGGTACTCTTCTTAAAAAAGTTTAAAATAAACATAGCAGCTTCAAATGAGCATGTATACTTTTTTCCATACTGCTAAAAAAATTGTTCCTATACTAGGTTAATTGCTTACATAACTCACAAAGAGAAATTCAGTTAACTATCATATTGCTACAACCTAGAGCTAGGCAAAACTATGTTGATGTTTGATCAAAATAGGATTCAAATCCCACTGAATTCATCACAGATTGTTCAAAAGTTTATTCAAAGGAGCAGTTTTTTTTTTATTATTGTTGACAGTCAAAAACCCAAAAGGAATAGAGAGAAAAAGTTTTCTAAAAGTGACCACAAGTTCTATTTACCAATTTTAATTGATCAAATAAATGTGGTGGTGGTGGGGGAGAATAGAATGGCTTGAGGTCATGCAACCTCAAATAGCTTAATTTGAATAATTAGCCTCTAGCAGTTTTTAAAGCTAAAAATCATTTTTCTATTATGGAGTTTAATGATCCATTAACATATTTTGCTAAAATTGGAAATCACAAACTTTTGGTTAACATTTGCTCTGAAATGGGGTTTAAGCTTTGATTATAAAATTTTCTAATTTTTAAAGCAAAAAGAGGTAGAAAACAAGTATGGATAAAATGGCATTCAGCAGGGCTACAAAAGAAATATGAAAGTGAGATGAAAAAAATGTCAAAACTAAGCCTATTTTGTTGCAGACACTTTGGGCACATTTTGGAACCATCTAAAATCAGACTTACCTACGATGTGCAAGGCACTGTGCTAAGAACTGGAGATACAAAAAGAGACCAAAAATAATTCCTGCCCCCAAGAAACTTACAATCTAAAGAAGGAGATGCAAGATAGAGACACACACACACACACACACACACATACACACGTGTATATATGTATAATGATGACTAGGAAATAATTAAGAGGGAAAGCACTTGAATTGAAAGAGGAGTTAGGGAAGTTTTTCTGTAGAATGTAGAATTTTAGTTGGGACATAAAGGAAGCCAAGGAGGTCATAGCAGTGGAGGGAGAGCATCTCAGGCGTGTAGAAGAATCAGAGAAAATGTCCAGAGCAGCATGATAGAGTTTCTTGTTTAAAGAATAGTTAGGAGACCAGTGTCACTGGATCAAAGAGTAGATGATGGAAAGTAACCTGTGAAAGACTGGAAAGGTAGGAGAGCACTGGGTTATGCAGGGCTTTGAATGCAAAGGAACATTTTGTATTTGCTCCTGGAGACAATAGAAAGCCACTGGAGATTATGAAGTAGGAGGGTGACATGACCAGACCCGCATTTTAAGAAAATCACAGCAAATAAAGTAAATGAGATAATAGCTTCAGGAGAACTGCAAGCTATAAATTTGACCCACAAAATTCAAAATTATTGGAGCAACTAGGTGGCACAGTGGATAGAGCACCAACTGTGGAGTCAGGAGGACTTGAGTTCAAATTTGACCTCAGACACTTGACATTTACTAGTTGTGTGACCCTGGGCAAGTCACTTAACCCCGATTGCCTACAAAAAAAAAACCCTCAAAATTATGTCTACATGATAATAAAAAAATAGGATACAATAATAGGTAGGAATAGTAGTTCCATTCGAAATAACAAAATACATAAAGGGTCAAGGAGTCTATCTAGGAAAGTATAATACCTATATAGTAGGTACCACGTGAAAACACTCATTAAAGAAGTGTGGAACATAAATAGTTAGAAGTATATTCATTGTTCATGGCTGGGCTGTACCGATATAATAAAAATGATGATACTCCTAAAGTTAATTCATAGATTTTAGAGCTATAAGAAACTACCAAAGGGATCCTTTACAGACTTAGACAAAATAATAACAATATTCAAACGAGCTCCCTGTGCAGGAAGGCAAACATTCTTCCTTGATTGATTTGATGTGTCTTCCATAGCTGCTGTCCCAAGCTTTTTCTTCTCTTTCCAAGCCTCTCAGAGTGTTCCCTACCACACCATTTCAGTTGAGAACCTTGCTACACACACACACACACACACACACACACACACACACACAAAATTTTAAATGAGGCTATTCATCAAGAGCTCCCCCTTCTCATCTCATATCATTCAAATATTTTCCCCCTCTCCTTCACTTCAGTTTCACTTCAGGTCAACTACTCTAGATTCCTTTTTTATCCTATCTTCTTGAATCTTCTCCAGTGAATTATCCCCTCTATCATTGCCATTTTCTTATTGTCAGTCTTTCCTTTTCTATTGAATCCTTTCCTGATGCCTACAAAACTTCAATGTTTCCTCCAACAATGTGTGTGTGTATTTGATCCTTCCATCTCTGCTAGTTATTATCCTATCCTATCCTCCTCTTCCTAGCTAAAATTTTTGAGAAAGCCATTTACATTGTGCCACTATTTCCTCTGCTCTCATTCTTTTCTTAACCCTCCATGCAATCTATCCTCTGACTTCATCATTCAACTGCAACTGCCATCCACCATATTACCAATGACCTTTAAATTACCAAATCAAATAGCCTTTTCTCAATCCTCAGCCTTTGAAACTGTTAAGCACCTTTTCCTCCTGAATATTCTCTCTTCTCTATGTAGCACTACTCAATCCTGCCTCTCTTCCTATCCCTCCAGTACCTCCTCAGTCTCCTTTAATTTTTCTTCATCAATGCCATGCCCACTGTGGGTATCCCCTAGGACTCTGACCTAGACCTTCTTCTCTTTTTGTTCTATATGTTTGCCTCAGTTCCTCATTTGTATAACAAGCTGGAGAAAGAAATGGCAAACCACTCCCGTATCTTTACCAAGAAAATCCCTAATTGGGTCACAAAGAGTTAGATATGACTGAAAAGATGCAATAACAACAAAAATCTCACTTCGTAATCTCATCATAGGTTCAATTATCATCTTTTATTCAGACCTAGCCTCTCACCTGAGCTACCATCCCACATTGTCAATTGCTTATTGGAAATTTTGAACTGAATGTCCTATATGTTCTGTAAGCATCTCAAACTCAACATGTCTAAAATAGAATTCATGTTTTCCCCCAGGCTCTCCTACCCTTTCCCTCTTCCTAACTTTCCTGTTATTGTCAAGGGCACCATCAATCTCTAGGCAGCCAGATCATAATCTTATATAAATATGTGAATGCAAATATACACACCCACACCTTTTTTTCAAATTATATAGCCACTATCCTAGTTCAACTGGTTCAGGCCCTCATCACACCTTGCCTGGACTGTTGCCATAGCCTTCTAATTGGTCTCCTTTTTCTAGTGTATAGGTTAAATCAAGTCATCCTCCTGCTCAATGAGCTTTGGTGACTCCTTCTTCCCTCCAGGATCAAATATAATCTCCTCTGTTTGTCATTTAAAGCTTTTCATAGCCTGGACCCTTCTAACTTTTCTAGTCTTTTTACAATTTCCCTAGAAAGTTCCTTGAAATTGGTGTTCCTTGAACATGACACGACATAATAAAATCAAAATAGGTATGAGATCTGAATTTTAAAGACTATAGCATAAAAACGAGAAGAGTAGCACATCATACACTTTTCACAACAGCTAGGCAGCAATTTCTTAACCAAATAAAGAAAGAGATGATTACTAAAGATAAAGTAGATAATTTTGATTACATAATACTGAAAAAAATTTTTTGCATCAAGAATATTAATGCCTCTAGGATAAAAAGAAGAACAGTTTATTGTTGGAAAAATCTTAATATCAAGTATCTCTGAAAAGGGCCTAGAATCCAAGATACACACGTACGTGTATATGTATACATATATATGCATTCTCACATTTATATCTATCCAAAAACAATTCTCTATTAGAGATGTGTATGAATAAATAGTTCTTGAAAGAACTGTAAACTATTTAAAAAAACTGCATGATAAGATGCTCCAAAACACTAACAATAAAGAAATGAAAATCAAAATAACCCTGAGGCTTTATCTTGTACTCAGCCAATTAGAAAAGTTAGTCAAAACAAGAACAGTTAATGTTAAAAGACAGGTACATTAACATATTGCTGGCAGAGGTATCAATTGATACAACCATTCTGGAAAGCAAACTGAAATATTCAAATGAAGTGACTAATAAAATGTCCATGCTCATTTGCCCAGACACTCTGCTGGAGGTCAATGACAAAAAGAAAGGCTCCGCATACCTCAAAAATTTTTATAGCAGTCCCTTTTTTGTGTGGAAGAAAAAAACTAGAAAAAAATTAATGTCCATTTTTTGAACAATGGTTAAAATATGGCATATAAATGAAATGGATATAATCCAAAAATGTAACATAAAATCCATTACCATTTTGGAAATTGCATGTTGTAAAAAACGATGGGTGTAAAAAATATAGAGAAGTACAGAACAGTTTATAAGATGAAGAAATAAGCAGATGTAGGAATGTAATATACCCAATAACAAGGCAAATGTTAAAACAACAACAACAACAAAACTATTAAAAACTGAATGTTGTGGAATTCTAATAAAAAAATTTGTCTCCAAAGAAGAGATATGAGAAAGCTTTCCTACACCTTTGCTAAAGTAAAGATCCATGATTATGGAATATGTGTATGTATATGTATATATGTAATATATACATACATATGTAATATCATATAACATCAGACTTTTTCAATGTGTTGACTGGTTTTGTTAAACTTTTTTTCTTCTGCTATGTATGTATCCGTGTATATGTGTTCATACACATATCTATGACTAATAATAACTTCCTATTCAATATTTTTTCATAACTAAATACCAACTTTGGGGGCTATTAAAAAAACCCCAAAACCTCTTAATTTAAATGTTTTGAAAGTTAATTATGCACAAACAAGAAATAAGTTACTTGATGCTTCTATTAAATATATGATTTAGGAATCCACAATGTGAAAAAATACAGAGACAAGGAATCTTAAAGGAGTGTTTATCCAAGTATTCTACTAGATAAAACTAAATTTCATGTGGCTTGGTTAGAAAGTTTAACTTTGAGGGCATTTGGATTTTTCATAACAAACTAAAACAATAAATGCGTGGTCAGTCAATCATTTATTAAGCACCTACTATGAGCCAGGAAGGAGGCTAAATGCTAGGGATACATATAGGAAAAACTAAAGGTAGTCTCAACCTTCAAGGTGTTTATAAGAATGAGGAAAGACAACACACAAAAGGAAGCTGAAAAGAGGGAGGAGGGAGAGGAAAGAGAAGGGTACTCAGAGTGGGGTCCAAAGCAGCACAGCTTGGTGGGACAGGAAGAGATGGATGACCTAGATGCCCTCCTTAAATAGAGGTTTTGAATGGAGTTCACTCCATCCTCCACTCAGAGGAGTCCCAGGAATAGAGAGTACTGATAAGGTGTGAGTACCAAAACTAAAGTGATTTTGCAAGAGGATGAGGTTCCTGGGAGCATGGTGAAGAATTACAAAAGGAAACAGCTGGTAGAAAATTAAAAGATGCACCTGGACATATCTCTTGAATGCTTTTGATTTCCTTAACAGTTTCTAACCAAAAATCTCTGAATTCCTTTTCATCAGCCTTACACCAAATCTATTCTATATTGAGCTAGCAACCTTAGGCGTTACTTCACAGTAAACCTGTTTGGAATCACAGGAGGTAATAGTGCAAAACAGAGCATGCTCAGAAAATAAGCCTTTTTTTAATCCCCATGAGCACAGAGCAAGAGGTAACTGTAGGTCAAATCCTGCAGAGTACAGCTGACTTCAAATTGAGGATGTTATAGATGGGGATAAAAAAA